GGTACCTGAGGCAGAGCAGTGCTGGGGAAAGGCCAGAGGAGCTGGGGAGCTCCAGCCTGGCAACTCCCCAGGCTGAGGTTTTGTTAAAGGCCCAAAGTAGGTACTGGGTTTGCAGAGGTGCAGCTAGTGATGAGTGCTTTACAGACTGCAGCCTGTCCCAGTGAGTGGGGGTGAGGTGATGACTGGCAGTAGCCACTGAGGCAAAGAGGGGATAGGGGGTTGGGTTTCCCCTGGGAGGGGAGACTCAGAGCAGGGGTACTGGAGGGGCATAACCCCAGGGTAAGGAGCACTGGGGTCCAGGCGGAACACGGGGCCTGAGGCAGGTGAACCACTGGCCTGCGGAGGGCGCGCCGGGTGAAGTTGAGCTAATTCCCAGGATCACCAGCAGGAGGCGCTGCGCCGGTGAGTCTCACTTCACTACAGAGACCTTTGCCACAAGCCAGCTGGGGACCAAACAACTGATCTGGGAAGTCAGGAGGTTTGTGAGGGAAAAACTGGAAAAAACTCTTAACAGGAGACAACGGCAAGTAGCTTAATATAAGCAGCAGTTTTGCTAGAGGTAAGTGAAGGGAAATTTTTCATTTATGAATGGTTCATTGACCCATGATAACAAAGCAGTGCGGCAGAAGAAGGATAATTATCTATTTAAGTATCAGATGTCCTAAGGGCAAAGGCTTTCCTTCTTTCCTTTTGAAAAATGAACTCAGATTAAACAAATGTCCTTTTTCCTGTTTTACTGTTGACATGAATTTCCTTTTTATGAGTAAAATTAATTAGTTTTTCTATTCCTTTATTCCTGCTCTGGAAATCAGGGCTGCACAGCCAGTTTTCAACTTTCCCCTTGGGCTCTAAGTTCAACCAATAGCATCCTCTAGGAAGGTGCTTTGTTCCGTATGCTTGGACGACTAGCAGATAAATTATTGGAGCTTTATTACGCCCTATAGCTGCATTAGCTCAAGGTAGTGATATAGCATCTTAGAACCAAAAGCCCTCATGGTCTCTGTTTTCTAATTCCAGCTAGCTAAACACACATCACTACATATTTCTTCTTTTTCAAAATATTTTAATAGGAAGAATTATAGTAAAAAAATTAGTGAATGTCTCTGCTATTCTGTTACATAATAGGTTTTCAAAAGTGCTTAGCGCCCACAGTTGGCACTAGATTTCTCTTGTTCCTTTGAGAACAATGGGAGCTTCTAGGTGGGGAGCTCTTTTGAAAAAACTAGTCCCAGTTAGGCAGCTATCCGCTCCCATATTGTCTATCACCATTCTGATTCTGAAAAGTGATCAAAACAGAACCGCCAGGAAACTTCCATTTTCTCAAAGCAGAATTGCAATTGTATTTCGCTTTGATAAGCTTTGTGAATGAATTGTGTCCTTGTTTATGTAAGTAAACGCTCCTTTGCACTTATCTGAAATGAGACGTCACTAATATCGCCTGGGGTTTTTGAAACTCAGCCTGACATATCCTTTCCGTGAACCTCTTAACTTCAGCCTATCTGCTGGTTACAGCTGGAGTAGTATACAGTACAATTGATACAGTGATTATCTGTGTAACCCACTGATCGGGGGTTAAATAAGGGAAGAAACAATGGGGAGGATATACACAGTTCTTGTTTTCGTTTGGGGACTCTGTATGTCTGCAGACTTCCCAGGGCTGGGTGAAGTGACTCGGCTAGATGGGCCAGAATCATCCAAAAATTTGGTGTGGTGGGCACTAGGTGTGCTCATTAGCCATTTGAAGCTACTTATTAGGCGATTTCCACTGTGGGCAAGCAGCCTGCTGGGACACACCCTGTGTCACTTTCTAAGAATGGAACTAATGGGAACTCAAGGGAAGGGAGAGGAGTTTATAAAAGGAGGAGTGGGAGCCAGACTGGAGGACTCCGCTTTAGAGCAGCACAAGGGCCAGAAGGGTTAGTTGTAAGGACTGTGTTCCTGGGACTTTGCTAGTTTGTTGGACCTAGACTACAGGCTCCCTCACCCTGCTGGAGAAGAGGAGCAGCATTGCTGCAGGCTATGCAAATGTCAGACTGACATTTCAGAGACTCAAAAGGGTTTTGAAGGAGACTGTGGGACTGCCACTTGTTTCCTAGACTTCAAGGAGCTTGCATGACCTATAGTGGAGCTGGTCCCCATTCCACACACACACAAGGATAAATCCTCCTACTGGGTGTCTGTATGTATATTGCACATAATTTTTTTGCATTTAAACCGGAGATAGTAGCAAGTTCTCAAACTTGGGGAGCTCCTCCTGAAGGTGATTTTATATATATAAAATCAAAGTCCTGAAAAGACTAAACTCTGTCGAGATAAGCTGAGGTACAGAAAGGGGCAAAAACTACTATCTTGATGTCAGCATATTCCTTTTCCAAAACCTATTACATTTGTGGGACTAAATTTACAGTAAACAGCACTTCTGTATTACAATGTCATGTCGCTTCATTTTCTCCAAACCGTTCTTAGCGCTCTTGCTTTAATGCTGAACCGTACCATATGTCCATCCATGTTTACGTGGAGTTACAGTTGCTATTTAAGGGCCTCATTCTGCAGTCATACTAGTGTAAATCAGGAGCAGCTCCACTGAAATCCACAGAGTGCCACCGATGTAGAACTAGTTGAGCATCAAGCCTGAAGTGGTCACTGCTTTGACCAGCCCAACTGTACTCACACTAAGAAACGCTTATGCTTTGTATGAGCTGAGGGGCGAAAACATGATCTACTATCTGTTCTTATCAGTGTTTGCAGGATCCCAGATTAGGAATTCTAGTACTGTTTGGATTGTATGTAGTGGTAGGATAGGCGGGGCAGTTGTGTTCTAAGCAAGACCTATGTGAATTGTCGCCGTACACGTTCATTGTTTACTTGATGGTACATTCTGCTGACTCATCAAGTGCTCTGAGTGGAGGTACAATAAGCAAAAATGTGTTTTCAGCATTCTGGACCTGAGGCTTAAAAGGAAACAGCTCTAATTAACTACCTATACTTACACAAATACATAATGTTAATAATAGATGAGCATTTCTAGTGCTTTGCAACTGCAGTGTTGCTGAAGTAATGACCACGGTATTATTGATATAGTTCCAGATTCTTAAACTTGAATGCCTAAAGTTAGGGCTTTACACCCAAGAGTTTCAAAAGTGACCAGCAGTTTTAGGTGCCCTGTTTGAAAGGCCATTTTGCTTGAGCACCCACCCTCTGAATATCAGGCCCCTTTAAGCTGTCTGAGGTTGGATGTCCAAATCACTAATCACTTACCCTT